TTTGAGCAGTAGTGTGTGTTGTATGCATGTGTCTGTCTGTATCTGATCAGGATTTTGTCATCAGTTTCAACAAAACGCTCATTTTTTTAGCTGTGTCTGTCATCAAAATTGAGTTGGAGTGTTTTAGAAACACCCACTTTGGACAACTTACTATATACATAGATTTTACAGTATATGACAAGTACTGGCTTTCTAAGACAAGCATTCATATTTCTGTAACTCCATTAAATTTGTTTTTCTTTTGTCACGGTAAGGATTAATAGATGAGCCATATTTTGCTGTAGTGTGTGATACATATGAGGAAACATGACAAGTGACGCCAAAAGCCGCAAACCTGTCTACAGCAAAGTCTGTCATGATAAAGTGGCAAGTAGCATTACTACTCCCTCTTGTGCTGACAAGTTGCAATAACACCAAAGACATGAAATTGCTCTAACACACTGGCCCCTAATTGTTCTTTGGCAGAGCACATAACAATTTCACATTTCACAAAAATAACAGAGCCATTACTTCAATAATTACAAAGGCAACAAATACTTAACGAAGAAAGAACGAAACCTTTTGCAAATTAATCATCGTAATTTGTATTGACTTCAAAAAGGTGGCGAATTTTGGTCAGGAGCCTTTCAACGATCCTTGTCTTAGTTTTTTTAGACCCCCAGATCTAACGAGTCCTCCTTTGTCAGGATACACCTCAAGCACTTTTCAAAGGAATATGGGAACAACGTGGTGCTTTGGGATGAACTACGCAACATCATCTCCAGATGAAAGGCTTTTTCTTTCTTTGTTCCATTCTTGCCTTTCTTGCAACAATGGCAAATATTCTCAAGTCCATCTTTTCCAGAAGAGATGGGCCAATTATTGAATTTGTTTCCATCTTCTTAGATATTGCTCAATCCTTTTGAAAACTCCTGGTGGGAGAACTGGTTTTCCTTTCAGTAAAATAATGATTTGGCGTAAGTGGGATAATTGTTGCGATCATCAATTAATGTAATGAGACGGTCATTCAAAATGTCTTCCACTTCGCGCAATATAGTGCGTAGCCCTTTGTCGTCGATGGTTTGTTGCATTGTCTCACTCACAGCATGACTATTATGTAATTTCTTCAACCCATTTAATTAGAGCAGGTAGGCATCCATCTCAGTCAAGTCGAGCAGCCACCTCTACTTTTTCTGGTATACCGAAAAAGTAAATTGGGTGGTTGTTACATTAAAAAAGTCTAACTTGTAATTTGAACACAATAATTTCGTGTTTCTATGAACGTAATTAAATCATGAAGGATCTGTATGAAATTCAACAACTTCATTTGTTCTTGTTGAGATGACATGATTCAATCTAGTAAGTGTCACAGGCTGGGTCTCCGACCCAGCGCTCTGAGTTCTTCTTGTATTTTTCTCATTTTTGATATGTGATTAGGTTTTGTGTTATTTCCTATTT